ATGTTGTGAGCTGGGAGATTTTTTTTTCTTTCATGACTGCAGAAATGAAGTCTGGAAATGGCTTTCTCCCAGGGGACACCCAGGAGAAGAGACCCTGTTAGGAAATGGGTGTATCTTGGACTGTAAGAACTTGCTTTCCCACGATCGTGTGCCACAGGCCAGCCCTGAAACCAGTGATGTGCAGGGCCCCTGGCTGGAGGGGAGTAAGCTCCTTTATCTTGAGCTGTGCAGAGCACCCTGTGTACATGTGGTGCACTGTGAATGTTAATTGTCACGTCATCTGGGGTTTGGCGCTGCTACCATGGAGAGCTTAGTCTCTGAATGCTGCCTTCGAGACCTGCCTGGGATGCTTTCTGCCCTCTGGACCCCAGGTGGCTGGTTGTCTGGCCTGGAGACGGGTTGGAGGGACCCCAGGGAGAACACTGGGGCCAGGGCCAGGTGGCCACCGGGGCTGGGGTGCATGCCCACCCCTTTTGCTTTTCTGCAGGTTATAGCACTTGGTGTTCTGCTGATAGCACATGTGCTTCCCTGGACGGCTGTAACATTTGTCTTAGCCTCGAGCCATGGATAGTGACAACGCGATAGGCAAATGCAGAAACGCCCCTGGTGTGGATAGTCAGGAACCAGAGTTGGGAAATCCATGTTCTGTTCCAGCTTTACTGCAAACCAGCTGTGTGACCTGGGTGCAGTTGCCACCTTCTCTGAGCTTTGGCTTGATTGTCTGTAGAGAAGACTCTGGGTAGGTCACCTTTCAGCATCTCTAGACTGAAAATACCCAGCAGGCGGCGTGGATGGCCCCCAAGGAGGTGGGGACAAGAGATCTGTGCTGCCCCGTGATGGTTCGAGAGTCTCTTGCTGGCTGCAGCTAGGGGCTTTGAAAGAGGCAGGTCGACGGCCCTGAACCTCCTGGTGTTCCCCTGAGTTTGGCACTTTCCTGTTTCCGTCTCTGTTGCTTCTCTATTTGGCAAGTCCTACCTGTCCTTGGAACCTCAGCCCAAATGTCCCCTTTGTGGCATGTGAGTCCTCAGTGCCCAGTGCATCGCCGGGCACACTGCAGGTGACTGGTGCACACACTGACGTCTCTGCTGGGTGTTCATCTCAGCTCCAAAGAGCATGCTTGTCCCCGGGTCTCACCCGACACAGTGTCACCCTGTGGTTGGACTCAGAGGAACAGGTGAAAAGTTCAAGGTGAATGTGGAGGTCGTGGGGTCTAGTTGGCTGTGGGGGACCCTGCCACGCACGTTTCTGGCAGCTCCATGCTGACGGCTTGCTTCCTCCCTGTGCTCTGGGACACCTTGACCGGTCAGAGGTGTGTGCGAATGTGGCCCGTAGAGGAGGGGGAAGGGCTGCCTTTCATCCTGACAGTTTTTGCTTAAACCATAGACACTAGCCCTGCTCCTTGATATCCATTTCTTAAAATAACAGTCAAGTAAACTAAAAAGCCTACGTAATGCCTACCTAACAGCAAGACCTAATCCCCACTTCTGAACTCAGCACGAGCTCAAGCTTGCTGTCTTCCCAGGCGGTTTCCAGGGGGGAGTCTCTAAGCTCATCCTTTGAATGGACCAGGGGGTTTCTGGCCGTGTGGAGTGGAGGACAGGATTGGAGTGGAACTGAAGACAGGGTCTCATCTCGTAGTGGTTTGTTCTCTGTGGCTCAGATTCTGATTTCCCCGAGTCCTTCCCAAATGAGTGCTTCTTGGCACCGATCATTAATAAGAACCGGAGCTTAAGATGCACTTGAACCAGGGGGAGGTGAGAGCGCAAGCCCTTCTCAGGAGAACAGCTTTCATAGCTCTGTAAATAAAAGCTGATAGACCCAGTTTGGAATCTTTCCAGAAACTTTATTCCCAAGCTGTTTATTTTGGGTTCCTATTTTAAGTTTGTTTTGGGCAAAAGAGAGACACTCAACTACTTTCTGTTCTCTGGTAGGAAAACCTCCAGCTGGTCGGGACCACACCAGCAATGTGGAGTGCTTGGCGGGTTGGTGAACCTACTTGCGGGAGGTTTGCTGTTCCTACAGTGGGCACCAGGCTGGGTGTCCCAGGAAGACAGACACAGGACTTAGAGCATCTGTGAGACACTTTAAATCTGTTTGTGGGGTGAAAAGGGTGGTCAAAACCCCAGTTGGACCAGCATGATGCCTTCCCACTCATCTAAGCTGTGGCTGTGGGAGCATCAGAAAGTAGTGGTTGCAGGGCTCCCAGTGCGAGTCTGTGCGACGCTGACGGACAGTGAGGCAGCACCAAGCCCAGTGCTCACTGCCCACCTCCGGGTTGCCGGGCTTTCCCACATTGTTTTGAAGATTTGTAAAGGAAGTAGTTTTTTAAAAAAGAAGATACTTGACCTACTCCAGGCAGTCCCTTGAGGATCCCAGAAGGAGGGGCCCAGGAAGAGCTCAGTTTCTTGGAACTGGAACGTGTTCCACCCTTGTCTTTTCGTCTTCGTGGCAGGTGGGCTGACATCCACGTAGGGAGGGCGAGACCCCCAATAGTCACAGGGACTGGGAGTGGTCTGCTCAGTGCTTGGAGAGGGGACTCTGATCTAGGGCAGGTCGCATAACCTCTGAGTGCCACTTCGTTCATAAGAAAACCAGACTGATCCCAGCCACCTCTTAGCATCACTCATAAACCCAACAGAAGACTCCAAAGCCACCCAGCAGGCCTCTGTGCCGGGTCCCTTCCCTTGGGTGTCCACCTGCAGCAGCCATGAAGACGGGCGCCACAAGGATCCCGTGGGCCTCACCTTTTTCCTGCTGTGCCCTTGGGTTCACGTCACCCAGCAGCAGCACTGTGAAGGAAGTGCCACCCTCCCTGTTGGCATCACCGCGAACCCCACAGAGCCCCAAGCCCGGAAGGAGCCGTGTGGAGGTGCACTCTGCTTCTCCCGCACAGCGCCGCCTGCTGTGGCCCCAGCTCCGGGCTGAAACCATATGGGGACTGCCTGTGTCTGGGCCACCAACTTTGAGATAGTGAAAAATGGCTGTAGTTTGAAAGGACCTGCCCTTCTCAGTTTACCACATGCTCTGGAGTTAGAAATGGAAGAGATTGTTGATCCATCTGTGAAATGAAATTTAAAAAGCTAAAAATTGGGTTCTTTGGTTTTGGCAAGATTAACTATTCATAGCTGTGAATCAACTGTCAGTGTGGCAGATCAGGAAAGAGTGGCCGAGGAGTGAGGCACGCTCGGGTCTCTGCCACTCTCCAGCGTCACTTCCCGGGAGAAGCCATTTGATCTCTTTGAGACCTGATTTCTTATCAGTGTTGTAGAAGGAATATGTCTTTTGAAGTTTGGAAAAATTGGATGTGAAGTTTGCGCTCTCTATAATGGCATCTGCCTCTGCTCTTCCTGTTGTTCGTGCTGCTGGTCCTGCGCTGACCGTCCTTGCCTTGCTCTTTGATTCTCACCCCAGCCTGGGCGTATCTCACAGGGGGCCTGTCCTTCACGTGGCTGATAGCGTAGACTGCAGAGCGCCCAGGACTTCCCGCGGGCACGGACTTCACTGGCAGACAGAGTTGGAGCCTGCACCTTCTGAGGGCCTCTCCCTGATGCCACGTGCTTTAGGAGCTGTGCTTCTGTCCATGTTTGATTGTTTATATAATCTCAGAAATGCATCGAATGTATCTAGCCTTCCTAGGCCCTTCAGTGAAATGTTTTTTATTAGGATTGAGACTTGTACATCGACATTAATTTTCTCCTGTGTTTGCTAGATCCACCCTAGGATCCTCCCAGAGTTCTCTGCAGTCGAGGGCACAGTGCTTCCCTGGGGGGATCCACTCGTGGGTCACAGGAGTGGCTCAGGGTCTAAGGCTGCTGTCCTCCATAAGCAGCTGGCCCCTCGTTGGCCCCCGTTGTAAGGCCTGGGCATTGGCGTTGGCTGATGGTGGTTCTATTTCCCTGAGGGAGGATTCAGTAGCTGCAGAGGGGCTTCAGGATCTGTCCCTCAGTGAGGGAGCCACCGCACAGTGGCCACGTCCCCCTGCCCACCGTGCCTGGGAGGTGGTTGTGTAGGATTTCTAATTGAAGGATGAAAACCCAGAACTCAGGGGTCGGGTAAATGAAAGGGGTTCTATTACACTTTCATTGGAAAACTCCTACACCCTCCATGAGGAAATCACTCTCCCATGTTGATCTGCCAGCTCTGCTTGTTCCCTACCACTGCTTCTGGAAAGACCCGTGAGTGATCTTGATGTCCATCAGGGATGGAGAACCAGTGGGCTGGTGACTGACCTGGGTCCAGGTTTCCATTCCTTAAGGGGCTGCCTTGAGGCCTGTGATAGGGAGACGTCAGCAGGTGGCTGAGGGTTTGCTTTTCTCACCAAATGTGTGTGGCCTCACATTCAGGCCCAAGAAGAATACAGCTGGACCCTCTCCTCTAAGTGCTTGCCCTGTGTGGGGACACTGGACAGAGAACTTTCAATGTAACATGTCAGTGGAAGGACAGGAGAGGTGCCAAAGCCAGATACTGGGGCCCAGGGCCAGTCCCATGAGCATCCTGCAGAAGGGGTGGGTGGGTGGGGTGCATAGAAGACCCAAGGCGGCATCTGGCCTCTGCTGCCCTGGCCGGTGCTGAGACCATTGCTGTCCCTGTGGTAAGAAGTGACCACAGTGTGTTTCTCTTCTGAAGAGGCATCCTGAGCTTTAGGCTGGAGAGTGGCCCGCATCTCTTACCTGGTTTCTAGGAGAGGGCTGAGTCTGGGGACCTGGGACTTGTCCTGTGGGCCAAGGAGGAATCTTGGAGGCGTGGAAAGATGGCAGTCTCACCTGACATGCCTCAGACTGTTGGACCTGGACAGGACTTTTCCTTGCTGTCTGCTGAGCTCCCCCTTTGGGACCTGTCGCCAGCACAATGGGTTGCTGTTGATACAGCATTTCTTTCTGTTTTGTAACTTGACCTTTCTCTGAGCTTCATTCTGCTAATGTGTCCGCTTTCTTTCATGATTGAGAGGAAGCTGGCCGGCGGATGGCGTGCGTGTGTGTTAACAGTCTCTGCCTTTGCAGCACACGTGGAGAACGAGGAGCAGTACACCCAGGCTCTGGAGAAGTTTGGTGGCAACTGTGTGTGCAGAGATGACCCGGATTTAGGGAGTGCGTTCCTGAAGTTCTCCGTGTTTACCAAGGAGCTGACGGCGCTTTTCAAAAACCTGGTAAGTGTCCGTCGGTTGTGTCGGTGCCCCATGGGCGTGTAAAATGCCTGCAGTTCCTCTTTGGGATAATCAGGATTTGTTTGGTAAAAATCACTCCTGTGGAACCTGAAAGAATTATATTTTCTAGACACATTGGGTCAATTTGGAATAAAGTTTAAAATTGTAGTTTTTACTCTAGTAAGTCTTTAAACTCACTTTGGCATTTTTAAACGTGCACAGCGGCTGCACAGAATGAGTAAATGCATTTGTCTTCTTAAGGGCCTTTGACTTCAGGTTTTAATAGTTTCTGATAATTCCAACAGGTATTCGAACTGGTAATATTTAATAAATGAGTTTCAGACCCCTCTTGCACAGCACAGTAACCTGTAACCAGAGCACAGAGAAGCCATGAATATCCCGAGGCCTTCTGTGCTCCAATACGTAGAGCTTAAAGAAACAGGACTGGAAACAGCCATCTCCGTTTGGGGCAAGCGGAGATACGGGCTGGTGCTTGGTAACCGGGTGAATGGGCCCTTCTTGAGCTTGGCAGCCCTGTGCCGTCCTCACTGTGGGAACAGAATTCTGCAGCAGTGGCAGCCAAGAGGGCTGCTGTGACCCTGCCTGGAGTTTCCTTCCACGAGTGGAGCAGGCCCTGGGGGTCACCCCAGCACGTCTTTCCTGTTTCTCTTTCCTGGCTTCTCCAAAAGGTTGCAGAAGGGCAGGTCAGAGCTTAGCAGTGCTCTCTGTGTGGGGCGTTCATTTCCCTGTCAGCAAGCTCCCGACAAGTGAAAAGATAGCTCATGGTCTTGAGATGGGGCTGATGGTGGGTGTGCACCTCTGGCACTAGAAGGGCAGGAACCAGGGGACACAGCATGTGAGTTCATGTTGGGAAGGCAAAGAGCAAGATCATTCAGGCTCTCGGTCTCTCTGTCTTCACTTGTAAATATTTACTCTGGAAATGGAGAAAGTAAAAACTTCTCATTGTGCTGAAGTTTCTTACTGGATGCATTTGAAATCTCTGGGGGCTCGGGTCACCCCTGCCCGGGAGGGGGAGGCAGCCCCTGTGCTGAGCAGCCAGCCTTCACTGCAGCCCTGGCTGACATGCACAGAGCGGCCTCACTCTGGAGTCAGGAAAGAGCAGAGGATTCCTGTTACTGACTAGAGACACTGCTTGGTTCCAGGGTGAGACCCCAGAGTGGCTGACACAGGGGCCCCTGGTGAAAGCGCGGCACGCCTAACCTGCCCCTCCCTGGAGAAGCCCCTTCACTCACCAGAGCAGCCTCCTCAGGGAGAGACAAAGCAACAGGCAAAAGAACTTGGAGGAACGCGAGCAGCGCAAAGAGCAGAAGAAAACGTTAAAGAAACCTTATTCGGTTTCTCATAGACACCCAAAGAGATGAAGGGGTGGGTGTTAAAGACGGCGTGGGAGAGGGAGACCATTAACATAAGAGAGCAGACAATCAAAAATCCAGCGAGGAGGGTCGGAGCAGAAGAAATCTCGAAGGAAAGACTAGTAGGAAACATGAAAGGCAGCATCCAATCAAAGGCGTTCAGGGGCGAGGACAGAGGGGGGCGTGGTGGCTGCAGCCTCAGGAGTCTGCGGGCTGAGGGGCTTCTGAGTGGGGAGGGCAGCTGAGAGAGGAAGAGGAGCACTGGGAACAGGGCAGGCCGGGGGAGCCTGGGGCGGTGTCGGGGCCCAGGAGGGCTCCTGGGTGGGTGCCTGGAGAGCAGCCTGCCCAGCACAGCTGGGGATGCTGGAGATAGGCCAGGGCCGCTGGGACCCACTCCCAGGCAACTAGCTTTTTAAAAGTCTTTACTCAGCCCATCTCTCTACCTGGACTTTCTCAGCTGTAAAGTGGAAGTTACAACAGACCTGATTTTGTGTACAGAATACAGCCAGCCAGTTGCTTCTTCAATTTCACTTATTTAATCCTGGCAACAATCCGATAAAGTGAGCCAGTGTTAGCCCACCTTGTGGATCCTGTGGCAAGGCCCTGGGTGGTATAAAGAACCCCCTTCTCTCGGGAGGCCCAGAGACCCTGGCCAGCTTTGGGCCACCCTGCTGCCTTCCACATGGAGGAACCCAGTGTGAACTAACCCGCATTCAGCTGTCCATGGGGGGAGCTGCCAGATAAAGCAGGGCAGGTGCATTGCTACATGCAGTTCTTCACACATCACAAGTTCAAGTTGCTGACCCTGCTCTCCCCAGTGGCCAAGACACACTGAGACCAGCGTGTGGCAGACGTGGGCATGGAGGGCATTCTGTTCCACTCCCTGGGACTGCTTGCAGGAGAGCCCTACGCCCTCCCCTTGAACACTGGGCACACGCTGATGACTTATGGACAGAGCTGGGATTCAAACCCAGGTCTTCAAAAGCCCAGTTCTGGAGTTTCCACTGTGACCTTTGAAGGAACCCAGGCCTCTTATCAACCCACAGTGAAGAAGAAGACTGAACGGAACAGAAGGCAGTGCATGGGAAACAGCAGATGGAGGGATCCTGGGTTGGCCACACTGCTAGGGCAGGAGGCAGCCCAAGGGCTGAGCTCCTGCATGCCAGGAGGAGGAGGACAGGCCAGCATCCAGGTGAAGTGAGTGAGTGGGCAGGGTGTGTAAGTGACATCCTAGCACCTAGGAGGTGTCAGAGTTGTAAGATGTGTGAACTGGCTAAAGCCCTGTCTGGATGACTAGCTTCAAGGATCTGTGCGTTATCTTTGTTTTGGCTCTTACTTAATGGAGTTAGGACTGTTTACCAGCAAAGATCAAACAGAGAAAATCTCTTATTAGCGCCCAGAGCAGCACCCATCAGGCCTGGTTTTCCAGGCGTGTGAGGGGTAGAAGGTGTGGACTCAGGAACACCAAGCCATCCACAGCCCATGTGGAGGGGACAGAGCCGATCATAATACAGTTTTCCTTGTTTGGTAGGTTGTGGACTGTTTTTATTCCTGTTTGTGGTCACGTGTCTTATCTCATATTCTCAGAGGCTTTCCTTTGCTTTCCCTAAGCATTTGGAAAACATCTCAGTCCTGTGTGGCTGAGGTTCTCCACTCCACCTCTTGCCCAGAGAGGGTGGTAATCACCACCTTGCTGCTTGAAGTCGAAGGACGTTTCTAAAGCAGTTGGAGCATTTCCAGACACAGGCCCACTTGGGATACAGTGAGACTTTTATCTTAATAGGTGAGATTCTCACCTTCAGGAAGCCTGGGAATTTTCCCTGCAGTCCTGCGGATAAAGGGAGAAGCCAGGCAGCTCCAGAATGGTGCATGGGTGACTTTAAACAGACCCCAGAGCCAGCCCACTCTTGGCTCCTTTCCCCCTCCTGCAGAGATTTCCAACGGCCATTCTTTGTGGTGAGAAGTGGCCTTTTAATGATAGGCTATAACACCAGACCAGTTTCTGAAAGGTTAATGACAGGTAAGTTGGTGTGTGTGACTTCAGAGAATGGGTGATAAAGGGGGCTCCCAGTCTGTGGCGTGCTCCACGGGAAGGTCGGGAAGGTCGGTGCAGGGGCCAGCGGGGCTGGGCTGGGCTGGGTGGAGCTGCAGCGTGAGAGCAGGAGTGTCCCAGGGACCAGGATTCTAGTTCATTCACCCTGGACGAGGTGCCTGAGGGTTGCACCCAGTGAAATGCTCCTAAGATGTTGGTATTTTTGTTTTTTGTCTTTTTGTTTTTTTTTTTAACACAATCAACCAGAGTTGGAAGAAGTTGTAGCCACAGAGTGAAGGATACTGGCAAGGTTCTGACTGGTGAGCAACAACCTGTGGCTTTGTAGTGAGAGGCCCTTGCCTGGCCAGTGCTGCATCTCGCCTGGCTGTCCGTCATAGTAGAGTGGTACCTCGTCTTAGCAGGGTTGGACTTTGGTAAAGGACGAGCTGATCCTGCATATTATCAAAGTTTGTCATTGACAGTCTAGTCCTTGTCACCACAAGTCCTTACCTCAGTACTTCCACAAACTTTTTTTCCTTTTAAGTTCTTCACTGAGGACACCTTGTGTTTTAATGATCTTATCAGACAGGGCCACTCATCACATTCCTCACCTTGTTGGGAGGAAAACTCAGTCATTGTTTGGGCATAATTAATGACCTGTGATAAAATCTAGGCCCCTCCAGTGCTTGCAGTATTTGAGTATCAGCCTTTCGATTAGCCCCAGTTGGACTTCACACCTGCTTTTTAATATTGGGATTCCTGTTGCTGGTGGCTGTTTTTATGGCCCTCGAGGCTTGCTGCTTGTTGCACAGCGCTTTGAGCTGGAGAGCAAGATGATGTGACTCTTGAGTCCTAGGCCTTGAGTAGGCAGTGCATAGGGCTAAGGCCTCTGGGGGGCGAGGTGGATCTGGAATGTCCCCTGAAGGCCTGTGTGTTAAAGGCTTCCTCCCCAGTCTGTGGCACTGTTGGAAGGTGGTGGAACCTTCAGGAGATGAGGAAGGAAGGTAGGTCATTGGGGGTGTATCCTTGAAGGTAGGAGGTAGGGCCTAGTGTAAGGAAGTTGGGTCATTGGAGGGGTGTTCTTGAAGGCAGGAAATGAGGCCTAGTGGAAGGAAGATAAGTCATTGGGGGGTGTTCTTGAAGGTAGGAGGTGGGGCCTAGTGGAAGGAAGTTATGTCATTGGGGGTGTATCCTTGAAGGCAGGAGGTGGGGCCTAGTAGAAGGAAGTTAAGTCATTGGGGATTGTTCTTGAAGGTAGGAGGTGAGGCCTAGTGGAAGGAGGGTAGATCATTGGGGATGTGTCCTTGAAGGGGATATTGGGAGCCCAGTCTCTTCCCTTCTCTCTGCTTCCCAGCCACAATTGTATGAGCAGCCTTCTCTGCCACCTGCACTCCACCACGATGTTTTGCCTCACCACAGGCCCAAAGCAACAGAGCCAGCTAATTATGGACTAAAGAATCATGAGCCAAAACAAACTTTTTCTCACTTAAATTGATCATCCCAGGTGTTTTATCACGGCAATAGAAAGCTAACACATGAATGGACCAACTGGAGCTACTTGAGATGCTCAGAAACCTTTGCCACTTAGGTTCTAGTGT